ATATATTGATATAATTATTCTTTAGTAGTAAGAACATCCATAAATAAGATTTATGATATGCCACTCATAAAAAAAATATTTTTATAAGATATACTCTTCACAGAAACCCTCCATAACTATTCTTTAGTTAAAAACATCCATGAATAGGATTTATGATATGCCACTTATAAAAAAATTCTTTCATAAGATATACTCTTCACAGAAAACCTCCATTACCCAAAAGAAGGCCCAAGAAAATATTCATGCCCTGCTTTAATTAGCCAATCAAAATAAAGAAATTTTGGCCTCTACTTGTTGTAGGTAATAGCATAAGAAATTAAAATCATGTCAAGTTCATTATGTACCTTAATAGTATCATCATAATCAGCTAAAAAGTCTGGTGAAAACCTGATTGGATAGACACAACTCATGCCAGGAGCTACCACTCCACTTTCACCTGGGAAACGCCCTAAATATGTATAACAAAAAAATACATGTACCAAAAACCCTTTCATGAACTCAAATATATAATAATTAATCCTAATCTATCCATTCATTCGTTCTTTCATTCATCCATCTTTTCTTTCATTCATTCATCCATCCATTTTTTCTTTCATTCATTCATTATTTCAGTTATTCATTCTATCAATCATGCTTTCATTCATTTATTTGTTTTTTCATTCAATTCACTAATTAATTCCCTTAATTCCATTTCATTCATTACTTTATTCATTCATTATTTCATTCATTCCTTCATCCATCATTCATTCTTTTGAATGCACCATATACATGTATCAATATGGATGCCTTACCCAAACCAATAGAAAAGTACTTTGTTGAAGGAGGAACAATTCTAATTTGCCGACTGGACGAAGTCACATTTTTCAACTCAACCATCAGCTATCAAACAATTAAAATAATTTCTTTAGTGATTTAATTTACATGTAAAATTAATAAAAATGAAATAAAAAATAAACGTATTGCAAAAAAGTTTCAAATTTCTAATCTAAGGAGGGCTAAAATTAACTGTCCACTTGCGGCACTTGTCCAGCCACACCCCTCTTTGGATGGTCCTGTTGACTGGTCACATGCTAATCAGTTCAGTGTGGGTAGTCATCATATGCCTTTTCTAAGATAACAAACATTGTTCATTGTGGTCTAGCTTTGGTACAGTACAAACATCTTTCGTCCATCATGCCTTGTATATGGTGTTGTTTGTACCAAGGCTAGACCATGCATTTATCAAACCTATTAGAAAAGGCCTATGTCTGTCCCACATTGAGCAGCCATTGTTCTTAGCACTGACTAGCAATGAGATGCAGACCATTAGCATAATGCACCTATCATTTATTTATTTATTTAGTACCTCGTAAACTTCTCCTACTTTATATTCTGAGAATACCACAGGACTAGGGGTAGCAATAAATACCACTTGTGATGAACCTGTAGCACTATTAATTGAAGAGAAGTAATTAGACAAATAAATGAGTGTGCAAACTCACAATGCATTACTTAACAGCATTTCTCAATCATAAGATTTGCCATTTGCAAAAAATAGGAACATTATAATATTATTTATTTTATTTTATTGTGTAAATATTATCATTGTTTCCATGCTATTGTGTAGTTCCAGAAATCATCCATACCCACCCCACAAAGGAATTTGGAATTTCCAAAGAGTACAGGGGTCAGAGAAAGAACAAAAATTACAACAGAGTTGGTATGGAAGAAAATTGGAATTTYCGGGGGGTAGGGGGGGTGTCTTAAAAAATTCCTCCGTTAGGGGTGTATGGATAATTTTTGGAACTACACATTGTCAGAAAACATAATTGATTTCAAGGGCACAAACTTATGTCATGTCATGGAAACAATAGATGTGCAGCATATAACTTCATCACTGACAATGAAGATTCTGAGTTTTGTCTTAGTTAAGAGGCACTGTAAAGTCACTGCAACAGTTTACTAGTACAGTGTACACTATACGTACCTTTCCTTCACTTCTTTGGCTTTGCTTTTTTCTTGTATAAGGTCTGCTGTTAATGGTGGTACAAATCTAGGATTTCTTTTGTATTCTGCCTTACTCTTTAATTTCTTTAAATCTTCCCTTTCAATTTGCCTTTGGGATGGCTTCATTGAGTTCTTCCATATTGCCTTACTGATTTTAGTGTGGGTCTATTAGACAGTCAAAAAATTGGTTAAGATAAAAAATACAGACAGACACATACAATTACAATAATTATACATATACTATGGTACATATAATGTATATGTACATATTAAATATAATTACTTGAAAAAACAAGATTGTGTACAGTTTCAAGTAGATATCCATACCCCACTGAGGAGGGAATTATTTTTGAGCCCGCCTCCCCTCCCCCCCTCTCCACCCCACCCCTCTTGAATTTCCAATTTGGATAGAAATTGATTAATGTCATCAATAAATAATGCTTGAATGTTTTCATGGCATCGGTGTAAGAAGGGTAAACAAATGGTCAAAGACAAGAAAATTTTTGACCAATCGATTATAATACATGCAATAACCAATTATAAAAGAAATTATAAAATAGCTGTTACTAATCTCGCGTTCTGATTGGTCATAAGCGTGTGCTTTATGAGAGCACACAGCGCATGCGCACACTTTTAGTAGCGTCATTCCTATCTAAAATAACAGTTATTCAAATTTTTATTTTACAATAGGAATAAAAAACTTGCTTGCTGTGCTGTGTGGAGTTATGAAGCACTTGGGGATTGGCATAATGCTAGAGTTGAGAAGTGTTGAGAAGCACTCTGCTACACATCCCATGTGCTTTATAACACAGCACACAGCACATGAGCGTGTTTTCTATTTCTTCATTATCCATGCACATCAGAGTATGTATATCAGAGGTACTGGTCAAACTCACAGTAGCAGGGGTAGATATTTCTCTGGTCTTTCTTTCAGCAGTAGCTGGTTTAGATGCTACTGTAAAAGGATACCCTAGAGATGACGTCACCCTGTCATCCAGGTAATCTGTTAATGGGGGTGTTTTTCGGTATCTTTGATGTGAGGATGTAGTAAACCGAGCATAACTTGGTATCTCATCAGCTGAAAAATTGGGATATTTTAGAAGTTAGAACATTAATCCAAAATTGTTTATGAGTGTGAAAAACTCAAGGTATTGACACAGGGAAATTCTTATCATAAAAATATTTCACAATTATCATTCACTGAAGGCAAAGAGATGGATTTTTCATGTGGGTTATTTAAAGACAAAATTCTGGGCAAAAAAATTAGGTTTTACTTCCTCTTTGGCAAACCTCATAATCACCACTACAGCAGTGATTAACATCCCAAACTACAGAATGTAAATGGTTATAAGTAAGAAGCTTAAAGTTTTGCTGTTGTGCACCCATAAAATCTACTTTAGTCTCCACCTCCTCCTCCCCCC